ATAGAATTTTAAATTTAGTGGTCAAGGTTTAAAATCAAAACCTGTTTTGATAGAATAACCATGATCTTAACAATCATTTTACTGGGACCAGAAAACGGAGCCTTAAGTAAGTAAAGATAATAAGGACATTGCCTTCAAAAATCCACATCTGACCAGTATCTTTCAAGATACATTCTGTTTGTTGGTTTTTGTTTTTGTTTTTGTTTCCCTTTTCCTTTTTTAATACTTTTGGATTTTTTCTTAAGTAAATACAGAATTCCTGTGTATTCATTTGTGACTGAACCAGGAGTGTGAATCAGCACAGTTCTTTTGACTTTAAGCCATCTCAGTTTACAGTCAAGGAGCAGATTTCTTGTTTAAAAAGATCCATAACAATACATCTCTATTTTTATATACGTATTATTTTACAATATGTAAGAAAAGTTGAGGGAGCTGTACTTGTTTGGCTTGGAGAAAGAGAAGGCTCTGGCATCTCATTGCAACCTTCCAGTACATGAAGAGAGCTTATAAGCAGGAGGGAAATTAATTTCTTGCAGTTTAATAGTGATAGGACAAGGGGAGCTGGCTTCAAACTATAAGAGAGAAATTTAGGTTAGGTGGTAGGAAGAAATTTTTTACTGAGAGGGCAGTGAGGCACCGGCACAGTCTGCCCAGAGAAGCTGTGGTGCCCCATCCCTGGAGGTGCTCAGGGCCAGGTTGGATGGGGCCCTGGGCAGCCTGAGCTGGTGGGTGGCAGCCCTGCCCACAGCACGGGGTTGGAACTGGATTATAGAATCATGGAATGGCCTGGGTTGAAAAGGACCACAATAATCATCTAGTTTCAATCCCCCTGCTACGTGCAGGGTTGCCAACCACCAGACCGGGCTTTAAGGTCCGTTACAACCCAAGGCATTATATAATTCTGTAATATGTAACACATATTTCCTGGCCAGATTCTGACATTGTTTACCATAACTATGTTAAGTAGCATTTACATTTGACCAAATAAAACTGGGAAAAACTGTCATCATAGAATTGTTGAAGTTGGAAGGGACCTTTAAAGGTCATTAAATCCAACTCCCCAAAGTTCCCTAATCTTTTTTTCTGTTCATTCATAAATAAGTCTTTCTCCTTAAGGTATTTAAAAAAAAAACAACAAACCAAAAGTGCCTTTTCATACACTCCAGTATTTCTTGTTGAACATTTAGTAAGTTGACAAAGCAATCAAGTCCTTTTTAGTGTTAAAGCATAACTAAAGAGAACAGTAAGATAATATTTTGCATTAAATGATTTAAGAGTCTCTAGTCTGCATTAATGGGCACTCTAAAGCCCTTGCTAATAAACACATTTTTCCAAGCAGGATTTCATCACATTCTGTAAAAGATTTTTCATATTACAATAATCTATTAAATCTACATCAATTCAGAATTCAGATATACCAAAGCATATATTCATAGAATTTTTTTTAAGTAGTGTGTCAGAGATAATAAGCAATAAAGACAGATAATTATACCAGTAAATGAATAAATGAAACATTTATATTATTACATTATTAAAGCCAATGACTGTTTATTGCAAACCATACGGACTTGAAGGTTGTAATTTCACGTGTATGTCTGGTAATGACAGTTCACTCAAAGGTAACTATGATCAAACAAGTTGTGTAATGAATTCACTGATGAAAATTTAGCTCTTACTCTCCTGCAGCTTGTATATGGCTATACGAACCCTGCTCAAAATCTCAAGCAGCAAAGAGTATTTCTAGCTGTAAACGACACTGCAGTGTTACAAAGTTTGCAGCACTGTTTATGCATCATGTAGCTCTTTCAGATTTTGGACATAAAAAAGGAGGCAAGGACACCTAGTAATTGGCAAAAAGAGTTGAAGAAGAATGCCTTTAATTTGTTGTTACTTTTAACTTTTCTTTCTGTCTTGCTCTTCTGGACCAGAAAAACCCTCAACTCCAATTTTCAAATAATATCTGTGAAGTTCATACTGATAGTAAGTGTATAAAGGAATACATAGCAGGGCCCAAATTCAGCTCATCTGCCGATGCTTAAATAGGGAGCAGATATGTATTTATGTGAATCTTATATATCTATTGGCTGTTCAGCTTAACTGGAGGAAAATTGAAGAAATGAGAGTATAAAGCTGACAGTGAGAGGATTCCCTAGGAATGACAGGTGGAAAGCTCAGAGGTTTGGCCTACCCTCTGCAACTACAGAGGGAAATGAGTTTCTCTCTTCTGTGAGTAGGAGTTGAGTTTTAGCTAGTTGATCTGGTGTTAGGGTTAGCTAACGCTGCAAGATTCCTTCAAAGGTTGTTTTAACACTGAAGGCATGGCTGTTCAGTTTCATTGCTTTGTTCTGACTAGTATTTTTGTATCTTTTCCAGCAAATTCAGCCAGTTGGTGAGCTCTAGAAATAATGTTAGTAGTATTCTCATTTCTCAATTTCCTTAATTAAAGGCATTTTGTTAAAAAAAGAAAAAAGAAAAAGTAAACAAATTGTTACTGTTTTGGTTAATATGTAATTATAATTTTACTGCCATATATTATCTATCTTACTTGATGTTTGAGTAAAATTTTGACTCAGTAGCACTTCATGAGATTGTTAGTGGGATGCAGTAGTTCTTGCCTTCTGTTTTTCCCCAAGTGACACAGAAGTTTGTTGAAGGCTGGAGCTAGCTTGTGAATAGGAAGAAAATTCATGCCCACAAGTAAATTCTAGGTTGTCAAAAAGAAATCCTTTCGTACTTGTAAACTGCCCATCTCTTGTCTCAAAACTGAAGGATTGCACCATTATTCCTACATTCCTATAAAAAGGCTTCAGTGTAGAGGAGTGGAAAATAACATCTTTATTTAATTTTATTATTTTGTTATTGTTCTGTGTACTTTTCCTTTTTAGCCAGGTAAAAGTTGAAGATGGAATCACATGCAGACTTCAACACGTATGGGAAAAGAGTGTGCAACAGGGAGTGGCATTGAGATTGAGGAGCATCAGGAGCATCAGGGATAGTAAGGTTGTAGCTGAAAAAGAACTGAATGCAGAATGAATATGGGAAAAAAATTGACTTCTCAGAAGCACAAGTTGACTTTAAGCAGGTGGGTAATTCGCCTATGTTAAAGAGTGTGAATTATTAATTTCTTAAGTGATATGCAATTTTTAACATATTGCACATTTTTCTGGGAGGTGCCTAGCATCCACATCTCCTGTGAATTTCAGTTGTGAATTTAGCAATATCCAGGATTTTTCACCTTAGTTTTTCCTTTGAGCAGAAAGCAAAACCATTGTCACTGCTCACTTTTTCATTTAATGCCCCAATAAAACGGTCATAAGCACTGACACCTCAAATACGGGCAGTTAATATTACTGCCAAGTAATTAAAAGTAGAGTCCAGGTAACTGCATTTAGGGGCAGGAGAAATTTCATCTTAAATTATCAGTCACGGTTCATTACCGTATTTTGTAAAAGATTTAGAACATTTTCTGTTTGGACAGTTTCCTCCTACATCTAGATAGAACAGAAGTTCAACATGTGTTATGAATGCGTGAAGTTTATATGTGGCTGAAGAGCATAAGATGCATTAAGCATTGAAATTATCAGCTTCGAAGAGATTTATGACCTGGCCAAGTCCTAAAGAAGACCTCCTTCTCTCCAAATTGGAAAGGTACGGATTTGATGGGTGGACTGTCTGATGGACAAGGAACTAGTTACAAGATCACATTTAGCGACTAATGGTCAGTGGCTCAATAACTGGATGGAGATCAGTGATGAGTGTTGTCCCTCATGGGTGAGTACCAAGAGGTTAAAGTGCCCTTTAAGATCATCAGTGACATGGACAGGGGGATTGAGTGCACCCTCTTCATGTTTGTGGATAACACCAAGCAGTTGACATGCCAAGGGATGGGATGCCATCCAAAGACCTAGACAGGGTTGAGCAGTAGGCCCATGAGATCTTCATGAGTTTCATCAAATCCAAGTGCAAGGTGTTGCACCTGGGTCGTGGTTACCTCTGCCATCATTACAAATGAGGGGATGTAAAGACAACGTACAGCCCTGCTGAAAGAAACTTGAGGTTACTGGTGGATGCCAAAGTGCTCTCCAAGAAGAGGGAAGCAGGCAAGGGAGAGCAGGATTCATTGCACTCTGGCCATTGAACAGCATGCTGTGAACTAGAGCATACTTTACTCTCTGCGTTGTCATTTATGTTGTAGTTTTCAGAGGTTTCATAGCACGCAATGAAATGCTGCCAGCTGCAATACTGCCATCATCTGAAATTCTCATGTGAAAGAGGTGGCTAAGCAGGCTTCTCCGTCTCCTTTTTCACCACTTTTGGGGAGATCTCAGTAAGGCCTTCTCTCCAAGTAGCTGGTCCTTGTCTCCTCTATTTCGTACAAGTTTTATTCTGTAGAAATGCCCTTTGGCTGACTTGCAAGAGTCACCTGTGGACATTATTGCAATTGGGCCAGATGTATACATATACATATGTGTGTATGTATGAGCTCATTCACAGTCTCAGGTCTGCCTCTGTGAAACTTATTTAAATACTGACCTTTACCTTCTTTGCTGACCCTGGGTTTATAGAGGCTCTAACTCTAATTCTAAGGGGATTTCTGGCACTGTGTAAAGGAACTACTTGTCTCTTTAACACATTATGTTAACGAGAGTGAACCTCAACTCATCAATATGGTGTTTTTTCCTTGACAATATGTGTGTTCTTGCATTAGTAATTTCTATGTTTGTGGTGAACTAAGGAGAAAAACAAAACAAACCACCAAATCTTCACATAGGGATTGTGAAAACAGCATTTTGTTGCCCAGCTTCTGGAGTTTCCAAATAATGCTTAGAGGGCAGTGAATATTTTTTTCCTTAGGGGTTTTCAGTTCCTTTTGTCTTTCGCCTCGTATGACCACCTGCTTTCAAGGGCAAACAAACTTGGCTGTCTTCCTGGGCTTGCAGCTGCTTTTGTGAGTTTTCTTTGAAAGAGGAGAGAGCAGCTTGAACACAGAACTTGGATGTTGCTGCTTTGCTGGAGAGGGTAGACTTGGGTGGGGGAGCAGAGACAAACTCTGCAGTTCTGGGGCTGTTAGGAGTCAGCGTGGGGCTGCATGTCTTGAGCCAACAGCTCTCACTCATCTTTCACGTACAGCCTGGACCAAAGGTGAGCGGGAATGGTAATCAATACCCTATGGCTTGCCAACAGGGAACTGTCTGTGTGCTAATGATATGGAGTTAAAAGGGAGGAAGGGATCCATTCTCATAGAGGAGGTACAGTGGGGGCACTGGGTCCTTTTGCACTGCCATCAGAACTGGTTTTCATATTCTTATCATAGTGTAGACTTGGAGCAGTCTTTCCTTGTTTGATTATAACTTAGTCTCATTTGTGGAATTTGCTGCTATTCTGTACTTCACTAGAAGCACTGGTAATTGTTTTTGTTTTGTTTTGTTAAGGTATAACAGTCTTTTCTGTTGTATGGCTTCAGCTGCCTAACTGTGCTCACGTGGGCAGCTGCTTCTGTTTTATTTTGATTTCTTAGGTAGTAGTATCAGATTGCATCAGAATCCTATTCCCAGTGGCAGTGATTTCCATCTTTCAAGTACTTTACCTGTGCTCAGTTACAGCATAGTAAGATAGCTGCCATAAGCCTCTAGAACAACCTGGGGGCTATGAGGCAAGAGGGACAGGAGAGTAGAAGCTATGCCAGCTCAGAATGTGGGACATGTCTAGAAGAATTTACCGTATGATTTAATACTATTAGTTGCAAACTGGGAAAAGATAACTGCACAGGGAGAGTTCTGTGGCTTCAACAATACTCTTTAATACACTGAAAAGTAAAAGCTTTACACAGAATGTACAGAAAAATTCATGGGCTTAAAGAGTGCATCTGTAAGTGAGTAACACAAGCAGGTACAACAAGAAGAACAGAAAATGATACTGGGTGGCAAAGGGTGACATATCCGTAGAAAATATAATCATTATTTATGGTTGTGCATTTGGGTTTTATTGAGACATATTTTGTGCTGAAGTTTCACCTGGTATGTGATGTACCTGAGTTTTGTTTGTAAGGTCTTCTAAGTTAGCTTTACTTTGAAAAATTGGTCAGGCTAAATAACCTCTGTAGACTTGCATGGATATGAGTATCAAACTTACACTGTTTGCAAAGGAGAAATCCACAATACCTTGACAATCCAAATTGCTAAAGGTACCATATTTTTTTCCCAGATGAAATGGTTTTATCAACAGATTGGCAGATCACTAGTGTGATTTTCAGGTCTACTCACTTGCCAGCCTCTAGCTACAGTGAAATAGTTAACAGTGTTCATGTGTGAGCAGTGTTTATGTTTCGTAGCAAACCACAATGGAAAATGGTAGGGCAAATACATGCTTTCTTTGTGCCTCTGTCAGTCCAAAATAACAGGCATTTGTTTGAAGAGATATTTAATAGGTTTCAAGGCACAGGGCATCATGCATACCCAGCATGTAAAATGAGTGCACACTCTGTGCCAGCTCATTTGGTGAGTATTTTGATTTCAGTTATAAGACATCATTATGCAAACTTCGAGGAAAAAAAAAGATTTTGTAGGAAATAGAAAAGCTTCTGTTGCAGTGATTTGTTCTAGTTCTGTAATTCTAATGGTAATGCAGACCAACAAACTAAATCTTATTTTGGGCAACGAATCTGCATTGAATGCTGTTGTCTGGATTAAAAAAAGTCCAGACCGCTTTTGATTAGAACTGTTCTTCAAATTATTAGAATGTGATGGATGTGTTTAGATGAGGAAGAAGCTCACAGTTAGGTTTAGATTTCTTCTCTGAGCAATTTATCACCCTAACATTAGTCAGATACCCAATCTCCAGTCCTTTCAGGATATATGAATAAATAAAGTATAATAACAGAGCAGTAAAATTTATGATTATGATTGATCTTGCAAGTGTCTCCTGTTTGCATTTCTACACAGAGGGTACAGAGCAGAATTTCCTAAGACATACAAATCTTGGTTACTTTCACAGGCATGTAGTTGCAGTAGATTAAATCCCAGAGTCTTTATGCAGTAAAATCTGTTGCTTAATATGATGATTAAATGAAGAAACTATGGGTTTCAGCTCTAGCATGAAACTAGCTCTTGTGTGGAAGAGCTCTCCATTTTCTTTGAGTCCCTGAGAGTCAGACAAAATTGTTTGGTTCCTGTGTTGACGTTATTCTGTAGGAATGCATTTTGGTCTCTGGAGATGCAAAAAGTTAGTTCTATCTCCTCCATGGTTCCCTTCACCATAACTGTTTTCTATTTATACTTGCCTCTCCGAGATTTCCATTTCTTTTTTCTCTAGACTGCTCATTACTTACCTCCTGAGTTTCAGCATGCTATCCTTACCTTTTTTTGGACTTTACCTACAAAGCCAGCAAACACAATACTACTAATTTATGCTTTCTAAATTCTTCCCCACTTCACAGACCATGTAATAATGTGTGTTGTTTTCAAGCTCTTGATATTTGTATCTTTTTTACATTTGTCATAAAGAATTTTGACAAAATAAATGATCAGAAAGATAAAAATTGATATTAGTTCTGGCACTACTATAATAAATCAGAATCATAGAATGATTTGGGTTGGAAAGGACGTTTAAGACCATCTGGTTCCAACCCCCTGCTATAGGCAGAGACACCTTCCTCTTGACCAGGTTTCTCAAAGCCTCATCTAGCTGGCCTTGAATGCTTCCAAGGAGAGGACATTCACAACCTCTCTCGGCAACATGTTCCAGTGTCTCTTCACCTTCACAGTGAATAATTTCTTCCTAATATCTAGTCTTAACCTACGCTCTTCCAGTTTAAAGCCATTTCCCCTCATGTCACTGCCTGCCCTTATAAAAAGTCCCTCTCAATTTTCCTGTAGGTCTCCTTCAGGTACTTAAAGGCTTCTATAAGGTCCCCCCTTCTCTTGTCCAGATTGAAGAGCCCCAGCTCTCTCAGCTGGTCCCTGCAGGGGAGATGTTCCAGCCCTCAAATAATGAAATGCTAAAACTAAGCAGAAATTGGGAAATTCAGTTTTTTATCCCACAACTGAGAATGCAAAAAACCTATTTACCTGAAATTGCAGAATTTTTCTCTGTGCTGTATTTGCATATATGTATGTGTGTGTGCGCATAGTGTCAATGAAATGATCTGTGTGCCAAGGCTCGTTGCTGCAGAGCTTCCACAGAATTACCACTTTGCTGTTATAGTAAAGGAAATGATGTGAAATCGCAAATTCAGACATTCTTCTTATTCTCTTTTGAGCCTGAAATTGACTCGAGATATTTCCTAGTTTATTAGTATTTCTTCTTGTGGTCAAATTTTGTCTTGCCAGACCTGGAAGTGGTTTTAACATGAATGATAGCTTTGTGGAAAATCACATCAGAAATGAGATGTGCCCATAATTTGCTCATGTTTTATATAGCTAGTTACCAGAATGTGAGATGGAATATTTTTGAAGAAGAATACAGATACATTAAAGTTGATGGCTTCAAGAGAAGTCTCTGAAATTCTCTGTGAATTCAGGGCAAAAGTTATTATTTTAAGCAACAATAATATATTCACCATTTTGTTTCAAGATTTCAGTTTTACCTTAATGTTGGAAATCTCTGCTTCTTTCTCCTGTTACCTTGTGTGGTCATTGAATCAATCTGCATTGTTTCTCCACTTGGGCCATACATTCAAATCAGTTTTCTGACTGATAAGTTATTGTATGTTTGAAGTGGTGTCTGCCTACAACCTCAAAAAAATCCAAATATCTCTTCTCTAGAAGGTTTTGCTGACTGTGCTGTACTCTTCTAAAGCCGTAGTTAGTTATTTACTGATCTTCCTTTTTTCTTTCATTCCTATGTGTTCTATAAGGAAAAATTGAATGAAATTATTTTTACATCTTCTGGACTGAGACCTGAACACAAGTACACACTTCTAGAGATAGAGTGATTTCTCTTTTGATTTTATGGAGCAAGTTTTGCAGTATGCTGTTCTGGAAAACCACTATCTCACCCACTGCTGTTGAGTTGGACAATGACTAGTTATGTGGCTAGTTATGTTAGCTTCCTTTCAGACACTAAGAATGACCCAGCTGAAAGTGATACTGAGGGTGATGGTGACTGTAATCATCTGTGAAGTCATCTGTCTCCAGTACCAATTGTTCAATATTGGAAGTGTGGAAAGAGTTGTTTTTAAATTAGTTTGCTGCTTGGAGTGGTGACTCACAGAAGTTATATTGCTAAGGTGTGGAATGAAGAGGATGAATATTAGGATGAAATAGATTTCTTCAGTCATTTAATTCCAAATATCATGGTCTAGTGGCTTTACATTACAGCACTCAGTATATACTTGGTTGTGAGCTTGTATTAATGTCGTCAGTGCTGTGTTTCATTTGCCTTAATTTGAGCTTGGAAAACACTGAATAAATAATGAGAAAAACTTCTTCCTTTCCAGAAATAAGTTGAGGGACCATGCTCTTTATTTACTGTTTATACTCTCTGGGTTCATGAAATGATATTTTGATTTTCAACAATGTGTGGAGACAGGACAAGGGGAAACGGACGGAAACTGCAGCATAGGAAGTTCCACACAAATGTGTGCAAGAACTTCTTTATGGTGAGGGTGACGGAGCACTGGAACAGGCTGCCCAGGGAGACTGTGGAGTCTCCTTCTCTGGAGGTATTCAAGACCTGCTGGGTCACCTGCATGTGTGACCTGCTGTAGGGAACCTGCTTTGGCAGGGGGGTTGGACTCGATCATCTCTGGAGGTCCCTTCCAACCCCTACAATTCTGTGATTCTGTGATTAGGTCTTTTCCAATACTTATATCTGGTCTGTTAGCTGTACATTATCTGGTGGAGTGCACACAAAGCCTCTTGGCAAGCTTTACTGTAAGATAGACAAGAATTAGTAGGAAAAATAGTGGTAACATCTGCTTTTTTGATTTTTGGAAAAGGCTTCCTAAAGAAAAGGGAGTTAACAACAAGTATCTGTGGACTGAAGAATGTTTTTAGAAAGTCTTTTCTCAATAAGCATAAAATCGTTTAATATCCTGAGATGGAAGGTATCCATAAGTATCAGTGAGTCCAGCTCCTGGCTCCACACCCCCTGGGAATCTGTTCTCAAGGACAAGGCAGTAGAGCAGAGCTGGCAGATCTTAG